ACACACACACACACATTTAAAATTTTAATTTTATTAGTACATGTTTTCAGTATGTAATGATTACATTTTTTTTTTTGATACTGGGGATTGAACTCAGGATCTTGCGCTTGTGAGGCAGGAACTGTGCCATTGAGCTAAATCCCTGGCAGTGATTGTATTCATTATGTGAATTTGTTACATTTATGTAACATGAATAACACATCATGATTCTTTTTACATCCCCTTCCCCTACCTCTCATCCATCTCTTGGTCCCTTTCCCATTTACAAAATATTTGTCTTGTTTCTTATTATCTTTTTTTTTTTTTTTTTTTTTTTTTTTTATGAACTCGGGTCCTTGTGCTTGCAAGGCAGACCACCGAACCGCTGAGCTAAACCCCCGGCCCCCTGTTTCTTATTATCTGTCTTTTATTTTGCTCTTTATTTATACTTTGGGTTTCTCAAAAGAGAAATAATGAGATATTTATGATTGTGTGTCTGACTTATTTCACTTTACTTTATGGTTTTAAGGTGAATTGATTTTTTTTTTACAGATGACTCAAATTTATCCTTCTTTATAGGGGAATAGTACTCCATTGTGTGTAAATGCCACGTTTTCTTTATCTCCTCCTCTGTTGGTGGATATATAGGCTGCTTCCAAGATTTAGTTATTATAAATTGTGTTACTGTAAATGTAATATACATGTATCACTGTAATATGATGTCTTTAACGCTTTGGGGACAGTATCTAGAAGGGGGATAGGTGGGTCTGTCTTTCTGTCTGTCTTTCTGTGGGTCTGCCTGCCTGCCTGCCTTTCTCTCCCTCTCCCCCATCTCCTCCCCCTTTCCTTTTCTCCCTTTCTCTCTTACTCTCTCCCTCTGTCTTGCCTTTTCTTTTCTTGTCTTGCTTTGTAGTTCAGGCTGGCCTTGAACTCATTATGTACCACAGTCTGGCGTCAAACTTAATGATCCTCCTGCCTCAGCCTGCCAAATGCTGGGATTACAGGCATATGCGACCATTTTTACTTTTTTAAGGTGTCTCCATAGTGATTTTTCATAGTGGTTGTACTAGTTTATATTCCCACCAGTTTTTCCCCATTACATTTACATTACAGCTTACATTTCTCTGATGACCAGCAATGGTGAAGATTTTTTCATGTATTTATTGGCTGTTTTCTTTTAAGAAATATGTATTTATTTTGGTTGTCCATTTTTTGATTGGGTCATTTATTTTGGGGAGTCTTTCTTTTTAGGTCTTCATATAAATTATGTTTTAGATATTAATCCTCTGTCAAGGAATAGCTGGCTGGCAAAATTATTTTCCTATTCTGTAAGTTGTTTCTTCACTCTGTTGGTTGTTTCCTTTGCTGTGAAGAAGTTTTTTTGTTTTTTTTTTGTTACTAGGGATTGGACTCAGGACCTTCTGCTTGTGAGGCAGGCAGCGGCACCACTGAGCTAAATTCCTGGCCCAAAAAGCTTTTTAATTTGATATAATTCCTTTTTTTTGAGACAGGGCTTCACTGTGCAGTTCAGGCTGTCCTTGAACTTGCTGTGTAGTCCACGCTGACCTTGAACTTGCAGTGATCCTGCTTTAGCCTCTTGAGTGCTGGGATTAAAGGCATGCTCCACCCATGCCCAGACATGATCCCATTTGTAGATTCTTGATGCTGTTTCTTGTGCAGTTGAGGGTTCAGAAAGTCCTTGACTATGTCTTTGTCTTCAAGAGTTTTAACCTATTTTATCTTCCAGAATATTGTTTTTTTATTATTTAGGTCTTTGAGCCCTTTATTTATTTATTTATCTATTTATTTATTTATTTTGGTACTGGGTATTGAACTCTGGACCTTGTACTTGCAAGGCAGGCAGAGGAACTACTGAGCTAAATCCCTGGCCCTCTTTGATCCCTTTTTATTTAGTTTAATGCATGATAAGAGAGATGTGTCTACATTCAATCTTCTGCATAGGGAGACCCCAGTGATCTGTACTTAATGACTTCTCATTAGTTTTTGGGTTGTAGAGATTTCATCAACATTGGAAGTCTGTAGCTACCCTGGAGAGCTAATGGTCAGCATTTCAGCACTGAAGAAGCCCAGGAATCCAGCTGTGTGCTGGAGAGAATTCTTTTTTTTTTTCCATTGTGGAGAGAAGTTCTTACTTTTGTGATGGTGGGAGTGCTGAGTAGAAATTGCAGAGCCCTAGACCATGGGCAAGCAGAAAAGAGGAAAAATTGGGTTTCTGTATAGACCAGTGGATGTTTCTAAGGTTTTAGTTTTGATTTCTTTCTATAGCTACTTCTTTTTTTTTTTTTTTTTTTTTTTTTTTGTATCGGGGATTGAACTCAGGTCCTTGTGCTTGCAAGGCAGGCCACCGAACCACTGAGCTAAATCCCCGGCCCTCTATAGCTACTTCTTAAAAGTTGATTTTAAAATCAGTTGAACAAAAAGTAGAAAATGTCAATTTTAAGAGATGTGAGCCAGGCCTGGTGGCACATGTCTGTAATCCCAGCACCCAGGAGGCTGAGTTAGGATCAGCCTAGGCTATATAGTGAGTTCAAGGTCAGCCTGAACTACATAGTGAGACTGTCACAAAAACACCAAAGGGATGTGTGAGGATGAGGTAGGAGTTTTGCTTGAGACCAGAAGTTCAGGTCCAGCCTGGGCATATAGCAAGCTGCTCTCTTGAGAAAAAGGGGAAAACAAGGTAGAGAATGTTAATGCAGCCAGAATGGAAAATGATTTTGTTTTCATATAGAATTTCCAGTTTTGTTTAAAATTGTCAGTTTGAGAATTTTACCTTAAGTGAATTTGAAATGCGTTTAGTATTCATTCACATGTATAACTTAGGTCAGGCTCTGAATGGCCCCTTATTTCTGCTTTGGCTTTCCTGTTGGGAAGGACCTCGTGTACCTGGTGCCCCATTAGTTACACAGTGTCTTGAGACTGTCACAGAGAGATGAAGAGAGTCAGTCACCAAGGAAGGAATGGCATCCCTGTTTCCCTTTTGTTTTTCATACTGGGGATTGAGCTCATGACCTTGTTCTTGTGAGGCAGGCAACACCAGTGAGCTAAATCCTTGGCCCAAAATGAATTATGTAACTCAGTGCTTTTCAAGGTCTGAAGAAGACTGCTCTTTTTCTTTTTTGGTACAAGGGATCCAACTCAGGACCTTGCGATTGGAAGGCAGGCACAGTGTGACTGAGCTAAATTAAACCCTGTGCCCCTTTTGACCTGTTTCCTTTTTCTCAAGAGTTACCTGTTTGTCCCAATCCTGTCACTGTTAGACTCTCAACTGATGAGTTTCATAGGGAAATCACATTGGGCACATGCATTGAGCTACTGGATAATTTTCCACTTTCAGGCCACATTCCTTATGTATGTTCCGTGTTGCAGTGTATCTGAATAGAGTTGTGTGGTCCTGACTTTTGGAATGTTTGTTTTAAGTTTGGAGTAAGAGTGTTTAAACAAATTGTCCATATTAAACTATAAGCACTGAATTTTATAATATACCTTATCAGTTTTGTGAAAAATCTCTGTTGAGATTAGAGTCTGATTGCTACAAACCAGTGAGTGTCTTCTTACATGCATGTATGTTATTTCTGGAGATTTCTGTGGGATAATAGAGTGTGTTACTCAGGTCTCGCTCTGTTTGCAGGATCTTTGACAGCAGCTGTGTGTCTTCCCAGATGCCTCTCCTCACCTCCATCAGGTATGCTTCCCCAGGCAAGCCCTGCACTGCAGAGACAGATGGGCCTGATTCTGTTTTTCCTCTTTTATCAGTATATCTGTCAGTGATACATAGTAAATACATGAATTGTGGGTGGATCGCTACATATATATATTTATGTCACATTCTGATCCTTTTTACTTCCTCTTCTCTCCCTGTGTGCTCCTATTCTCAGGGTTTCTTCCCATCCTTTTAAAGAACAAGCAACTTTTAGATTCATTGTTCTTTTGTGTATTTTTTTTGCAAAACATTAATTGGTACATTTTAGATATACATAATGATAACATTCATCATAGGGAATTTTTGGTGATATATCTTTTTTTTTTTTTTTTTTTTTTTTTTTTTTTTTAAGACAGACTCTCACTTTGTAGTTCAGATTGCCCTAGAACTCACTCAGTAGCCCAGGCTGATCTCGAACTCACAGCAATCCTCCTGCCTCAGCCTCCCAAGTGCTGTGGTTATAGGCCTACGCCACCATGCCTGGCTGTAGATGATAGATCTTGCTTCTTTTTTCTCACCCACACTTTGACCCTTCTTTGCCTCCTTATTTACAAAATCTTTGTTTCCATATTTTCCTTCTTTTCTCTTTTGCTTGACCTTTCTCTCCTTCCTCCCTCTCCCCTTGTTCCCCTTCTCATTTGAACACTTTCTTCCCATTTCTCAATATCTATTATACACTTTGGTCCTTATTTACTTTTTCACACCAGAGAAACAATGCAATCTATTTACACATTTGGGTCCTATTTATTTCACTTAAGGGCATGGTCTTGGGGTAGGGATTTAGCTCATTGGTGCCTTGCCTGCCTGGCAAGCACAAGGTCTTGAGTCAGTTCCTATTGCCAAAAAAAGAAAAGAGTATGGTCTCAAGGTGTATGCATTTATGTAGAAATGTTTTGAGCTTATCCTTCTTTATGTAGAGTAGTACTCCATTGTATAAAAACCACATCTTTATTCATTGGCTGGTTGATGAGCAGTTGGATTATTTCCAAGATTTAGCTAACTGTGTTGCTATAAACATGGGTATGTATATATCACTGTGGTATGGTGCTTTTAATTCTTTCAGGAAGATACCAAGAAGGGGAATAGCTGGGTCAAATGGAACCTCTAGTTTTAGTTTTTGAGGAATCTCCACACTGATTTCCACAGGGGTTTCACTAGTCTACACTGTCACCAACAGTGGAGAAAGGTTCCTTTTTCCCCATAGCCCTGCAAGCATTTGTTATTGGTTGATTTCTTAGTAACAGCTATTCTTTCTGGAGTGAGGTGGAATCTCAGCTTTTTTTTTTTTTTTTTTGGTACTGGGGATTGAACTCGGGTCCTTGCACTTGCAAGGCAGGCGGCAGAACCACTGAGCTAAATCCCTGGCCCGCAGCATTGTTTTAATTTGCATCTCTCTAATGACCAGTGTTGTTGACCATTTAAAAAATATATTTATTTGCTATTTCTACTCCATATGAGAAGTGTCTTCATTTCAGATGCCCATTTTTGGATTGGGTCTTTATTACTTATTTGTTTATTTTTGTGGTACTGGGTCGCGAACTCAAGACGTTGTGCTTGTGAGGCGGTAGTAGAAGCACTGAGCTAAATCCCTGGCCATGGATTGGGTCTTTAAATTTGGGGAATTTGAGGGTTTTTTTTTTTGGTTCTGGGGATAGAACTCAGGACCTTGCACTTGTGAGGCAGTTGGCGGCACCACTGAGCTAAATCCCTGGCCCCAGGATCTTGAGTTTTTTGAGTTCTTTTTTTTTTTGAGACAGGGTCTCACTATGTAGTTAAGGCTGACCTGGAACTCATTATGTAGCCTACGCTGGTCTTGAACTCACAGTGATCCTCCTGCCTCAGCCTCCCGAGTGCTGGGATTACAGGCGTGCACCACTGCACCCGGTTTGAGTTTTTAGTATATTTTAGATGTTTGTCCTTTGAGGAATAGCTGGCAAAAGATTTTTCCCACACTGAGTTGTCTCATCACTCTGTTAGTGGTTTCTGTTTAATGTTTCTGTTTTAATATATAAATCTTTGACCCTTGTCAATTATAGTTTAGTGCATGGTGAACGATATGGGTCTAGTTTTAATCTTCAGCATGTGGAAAACCAGTTTTTCCAGCACCATTGATTAAAGAGGCTGTCTTCTTTCCAGTGAAGGTATTTGGCTCCTTTATAAAAGGTTAAGTGGCTGAATATGTCTGGAGTTGTTTCTGCATCTTCTGATCTGTTCCATTAATCCTCAGGTCTTTTGCCAGTACTGTGCTGTTTTTATCACAGCAACTTTGTGGTATAATTTCAAGTCAGGGATTTTGATACCCCCACCTTGCCTTTGTTGCCCATAATTACCTTTGCTATTCTGGGTCTCTTCTGGTTGCAAATGAATTTTAGAATTGTTTTCTTCTAATTCTGTGAGAAACACTTTTGGAATTTTTATTAGGATTGCATTAAATCAGTGTAACAGTTTTGAAAGTACATTCATTTTCACTGAAGTGGTTCTTCCTACCCAAGAACAAGGACTATTTTTCCACTGTGATATCCTCTTTGATCTCCTTTTTCAGAGTACTGTAGTTTTCAATGTAAAGGTTTTTACTTCATTAGATTGATTCCTAGGTATTTACATTTTCTATATGCTATTGTGAAAGGTATTGTTTCCCTAATTGTTCTCTCTGTGAATTTGTTATTTGTGTATAGGAATGTTGTTGATTTTTGAGTGTTGACATTGTAGTCAGCTATGCCACTGAATTTGGTTATGAAATCTAGAAGTCTCTTGGTGGAGTTTTTGGCATATTCTATGTAGATGTCATCTGCAAATAATGATAGTTTAACTTATTCCTTTTATTTCTTTCTCTGTCTAATTGCTCTGGCTAATGTTTCCTAAACTGTATTGAACAAGAATGATAACAGTGAACATCCTTGCCTTGTTCCTTATTTTAGAGTAAAAGCTTTCAACTTTTATGCATTTAGTATGATGCTGGCTTTTGGTTTGTCATAGATGGCTTTGAGCAGATTGAGATAAAGACCCTCTATTCCAATTTTCTATAGAGTTTTTATCATGAATGAGTGATGGATTTTGTCTGCATCTATTACGATGATCATACCGGGTTTGTCCATGGCTCTGTTCATACGGTGTATGACATTTATTGAGTGCATATGTGAACCATCCCTGCATCACTGTGATGAATCCTACTTGTGTAATTTGATGATTTGCTGCATTCTGTTTGTTAGTATCTTATTGAGGATTTTTGTGTATATATTCATTTGGGAGTTTGGCCTGTATTTCTCTTTTGGTTGGGTCCTCCTCTGGTTTAAGTATCAGGGGAATGCTTGCTTCCAGGAATGACTTTGGGAGTATTGTTTCCTTTTCCATTTCATTAAAGCCTTTGAGAAGTAATGGCATTAGATCTTCTCTAATTTCTTGTAGCATTCTGCAATGAATTGGTCAGGGCCTGGGCTTTTATTGGTAGTAGGTTTTTTTTTTTTTTTTTTTTTTTTTTTAAATTAACCTTTTGGGCTGGGGATTTAGCTCAGTGGTTCCACTGCCTGCCTTGCAAGCACAAGTTCCCAAGTTAACCTTTTTGTGGTTATAATTTCTGTGTTTATATAGAGTTCTCTTTTCAATTCATTTTTAAAATAAATCTTAATTTATTTTATCATTTTATCCCATTCTGCCACTCCCTTCCCTTCCATATATACAAAAACTTTGTTTCCATTTTTTCTTGTCTTTGTTCCTTTCTCCTTCCTTGTTCTTTTTCCCATTTGAACATTTCCTCCCATTTTCCAACATCCATTATATGTCTCAGTCCTTATTTCCACAGTTTCTCACACCAGAGAAACTGCAGTATTTATTTATTTTTTTATGAATCAGAAAATAAATCTTTATTGGAGAAAAAGGAAATCTAGGACTATGAATCTCCCTGAAATTATTTAACATTTATTTTCCTTTTATTTGATCTTTTCATTTCCATGCTTCTTGAAGTACTTTGTTTTAGCCAGGTCTTTTCTAGTCCATATAGTGGGCTTTGCTTTTTTTTTTTTTTTTAATTCAACTAGAACCTTTTTTTAATTTATAAAGAACAAATTTATTTCTTAAACTCAATCATTGCTTATCCTATGTTTATTGATACATGCTTGGTTTTAGTTCTGTCATTTTATTTTTAATTTAACTGTTAATACCCTCTTTGTGTGTGTGTGTGTTTGGGGATACCGGTGATCAAACTCTGGACCTTGCGCTTATGAGGCAGGCATTGGAACCACTGAGCTACATCCCTGGACACCCCTTTGTTTTGTTTTTTCTTTTTTGGTACTGGGGATCAAACTCAAGTCCTTAAAATTGCAAGGCAGTTGCCAGAACCACTAAGCTAAATCTCCAGCCCTTTGTTTTTGTTTTTTGAGATAGGGTCTGCTATATTGTCCAGGCTGAGCTTGAACTCACTATGTAGCCCAAGATGGCCTCAAACTTGCAGCAGTCTTCCTTCCTCAGCCTACCAAGTGCTAGGATTATAAGTGTGTGCAACCATGTCCAGCTCTCTGTTTCTGAAAAATTTTTTGATATATGACCTGTATTTTCTGTGCTTTGCACATTTTTTTGAAGTCTGGATAGAAACTGCAGTATTTAAACATGTGTTTGATTTATTTTACTTAAGAGTATGGTCTCAAGGTCCATCCATTTAGCTATATAAATGCTTGAAACTCATCCTTCTTTATGGCAGAGTACTACTCCACTATAACCACATGTTCTTTATCCACTTGTCAGTTGATGGGCATTTGGTCTGTTCCAAGATTTAGCTGTCACAGCCTTTGCTGCTCTAAACATGGCTGTCCATATATCACTATGGTGTGATGCTTTTTTTTCCCCATTGAGTTTACTGGTACATTTTAGGTAAACAGTACAGTTGCATTCATCGTTGGGATCTTGTACCTTTACATGATGTTTCTTGGTTCTTATTTTTTTCCCCATTCCCTGCCCTCCCTTCACCCCCTTCACTCTTCCCTATTTGC